CCCCCCGTCCTATTTATATAGGAGTCCTTTTTATATGGAAGACCAGAATTGGGCTTTAGCTGGTACCTGTTACCCTGACTGAAAGAGTGAAGCTCATTTTAACACGCAATAAAGGCTTCGATAAACTTTTACGGTTGCGAAATTGGTGTTGGAGTGGTAGCGTTCAGTTCTTTAGTCAGCGGTTTGAGAGCCCTGCTTGACCCTCGGGATGTTCCGAGATAAGACACGATAGCTTTCTTGATGTGGTATCGTGGGTTGGGAGGAAGTTTCTTCAGTTCAGACAAGTTCATTCGATTCCAGTCCTGGAGTGTTCTTTCATAATCTGCCTTTGCTTGCTTCTCGGCGAGAACTTCGTAAGTGTCATTAAGGTCACTCCTGTTGAGGGATAATTCATCGTTGCTTAACTTTTACGTGAGCTTACTTTTATAAATTATATTACCTTATTTCTTTTCGAGTTGGGAGGCCGTAAGAGGAGAGGTGGCGGGGGAAGGGTATTTGACCACATAAAACAGTTAGCACATTTAGAAATAGATAATAAAGAGTTAGATGAGTAACACATCATTACAAGGGTCCTTAAGTCAGCCACTTCTTTTTGTTTACACGTGAGAGTTTGGCTATTACATTTTATTTGAGGCATGTCAAAACGAAGGAAATCACTGTGAAACTACTAAAGATAATTAAACGTACTTTCAAGAACACAACTTGCAGTAAAGCAATACGATTTGCTTCACCATGCAATATCAATAATTTTGATGGCATCAAAAATGGCAGAGGCTGGCTAGTGTCCTTTTAGACCCGTAAGGTACGATCACATGGATGCATTATTCAGTAAAGAATTTTAAAAATTGTTTGAAAACATAATGCAGTATTTAACTGTTAAATATTAGGTTTTCTTCCAAAATTGTCTTGCTTTACAAGCTTACTTTCAGATAAACTTCAATCAAAATGTTTGATGCTTAGTTTATAGTGTCAATACAGTGCCTTTAAGGTGTGACTGCTTCCTACCTGAAGTTGGCCACCTGGTCATACGTCATCCTGTGTGGTTGATAATGTGATTGGTTGAACTTTGGAAAATTTGGCATTGGTAGAGGAGGGAGCCTGGTACTACCTNAGTCCTTTTTATATGGAAGACCAGAATTGGGCTTTAGCTGGTACCTGTTACCCTGACTGAAAGAGTGAAGCTCATTTTAACACGCAATAAAGGCTTCGATAAACTTTTACGGTTGCGAAATTGGTGTTGGAGTGGTAGCGTTCAGTTCTTTAGTCAGCGGTTTGAGAGCCCTGCTTGACCCTCGGGATGTTCCGAGATAAGACACGATAGCTTTCTTGATGTGGTATCGTGGGTTGGGAGGAAGTTTCTTCAGTTCAGACAAGTTCATTCGATTCCAGTCCTGGAGTGTTCTTTCATAATCTGCCTTTGCTTGCTTCTCGGCGAGAACTTCGTAAGTGTCATTAAGGTCACTCCTGTTGAGGGATAATTCATCGTTGCTTAACTTTTACGTGAGCTTACTTTTATAAATTATATTACCTTATTTCTTTTCGAGTTGGGAGGCCGTAAGAGGAGAGGTGGCGGGGGAAGGGTATTTGACCACATAAAACAGTTAGCACATTTAGAAATAGATAATAAAGAGTTAGATGAGTAACACATCTACACCATTACAAGGGTCCTAGTCAGCCACTTCTTTTGGTTTACACGTGAGAGTTTGGCTATTACATTTTATTTGAAGCATGTCAAAACGAAGGAAATCACTGTGAAACTACTAAAGAAAATTAAACATACTTTCAAGAACACAACTTGCAGTAAAGCGATACGATTTGCTTCACCATGCAATATCAATAATTTTGATGGCATCAAAAATGGTAGAGGCTGGCTAGTGTCCTTTTAGACCCGTAAGGTATGATCACATGGATGCATTATTCAGTAAAAAACTTTTAAAAAATTTTAAAAAAATAATGCAGTATTTAACTGTTAAATATTAGGTTTTCTTCCAAAATTGTCTTGCTTTACAAGCTTACTGTCAGATAAACTTCAATCAAAATGTTTGATGCTTAGTTTATAGTGTCAAGACAGTGCCTTTAAGGCGTGACTGCTTCCTACCTGAAGTTGGCCACCTGGTCATACGTCATCCTGTGTGGTTGATAATGTGATTGGTTGAACTTTGGAAAACTCGGCATTGGTAGAGGAGGGAGCCTGGTACTACCTTCCTTGTCACTTGACCGTGATAAATTTCTACTCCTGAAACAGACATGTAAGTTAAGTCAGTCCATGACTGTGCATTAAACACACCTTGGGTTGGGCAAAACAATACACTGAGGAAAAAATACAGCAATACTGAATGTAACTCCCCTGAGCAAAGCTTTTGATTATTATCCTGGATCACCAAATCTACTGAGTCTTGACAATAATTAGATACAATTTTGTTCAGGGCCTGAGGAGCGGGGGAACTCCCATATGAAAAGGTGTGGGATGCTCGTTGTTTCATTTAGGGGTATAAGTCCAGGATTCTGGTATAACTTAGGGTGTTAATGATGAAACACCACTATTTTTAGCTGTCAAAGTATCTTAGAAGGAGGTGCACTTGAACAAAAATGATAAAAAGACACCCTTATTTTTGTTTTTTTGCCTCAGTTTCTGCCAGTCTCTAGAGCCCAGTCTACTAGCATAAGCTACTTTCCTGAACAGCGGCCTGTAATTGCCCTTTTTTCATTTTGAGGGGCATCTTTTAGGGGTCAAATAAAGCTTGAACCACCTCCAAGTCAACTGTCATTTTGTATTGGCATGGAGTTTTGTTAAACATTCCAGACACTTATCTCAAGAAGTCCAGTAAATATATAGATTACTGCACCTTTCAATAACATGTGGACTCTAAAATGTAAAGTTCAACTGATAAATGTGTTTTTCGCTACCGTCAGCCAAATGTTCGGCGGCTCCTCCCAGCTTCCGACTACTGCTGAGCACTGTTTTGTTGTCTGAACTGTACTCAACGACTTGATTAACGCAAGCTCGGCAGTAGGTGGAAGCTGGGAGGAGCCGCCGAACATCTGATTGACAGTAGCAAAAAATGCTCTTGTCAGTTGATCTTTGAACTTTTGAGTCCGCATGTTATTGAAAGGTGAAGTATAAATAAATCACTTCATATGCATCACTTTATTTAAATGTCACTGATATTTAATCAAGGCTGTTGGCTTGAAGTTGGCACACAAAGAAGATAATAAACTGGGTTTTGTCGGCTCACATCAACTGTTGTAGATGGAATGCCATGGGTGGTTTAGAGCTGCATAGATTATGTTAAAAATATGAAATTAACAAACCATTCTGCTGAGAGGAAAAGCCTTCCAGGCAGTCTTGACTGTGGGACTGGATTTGGAAAACTGTAAAAGAAGTATAATAATTAATAGGACCTAAGTTGACAAGGAAAGGGAAGAAAAGGAAAGGAAATAAAATAATTTAATAAAATAAGAAAAAACTTAAGGCAAGGAAAGAAAAGGAACAAAACAAAAAGAAAAGAGAGGAAAGGAAAAGAAGAGAAAAGAAAAGATAAAAACTTAACACCTACTTATCAAGTTTCCATGAGACCTCTGGATCTATAAGCAAAAAAAAGAACATTAACTAAAGCAAGAGACAACATCTCTTTTCTTTGAACAGGCTTATTGTCGAAACTTATTAATGTCCAACTTCCTCAGAACTTAGAGAAGTCAAAAACAGTAAAGAACACTTGGAGAAATGCTTCTATTTTTTATTTGAAGCTTGGGAGTACATTTTATTTACAAGGTTTAACATCAGCACCCAAGGAGCCCCAAGCTATAAGCATTGCTAATAAACATTGTTTTGCCCTAGAAAGCACTACTTGACAATTAACCAAGTTGTTCAAACTATCTAAAGTTTTATGAAGTTTTATTATATGTTGAGAAGAAGGGTGGCTGAAGGTTACAGGAATTGAGTGGGCAGCACGTTGGAAAGGCAAACATTTTTCATACATTAATTCCATCATTACTTATCTAACTGACAACTTTTGATCCGTTGTACAAGATAGAGGATCTTACCTACTACTCCAAGTGCTGTAGGTCTGTGACCATATCCTCTGTAACACTCTACTTCTTCCTGCTGTTCAGGAACAAAACCAAACATGATTCTCTCTCAACAGTTTAAGCTATTTATGACAATGGCCCATGTGATATATTAGGCTTTTTGGAACAAGGCTGCTAAATCAAATCATTATATTATGCAATCTAACATAATCACCCAAGCTCACTGATCTGGCCACTCCTTGAGATAAAAGAGATATGGACTGAAAGAGTCCCTTCAAATAAGTCTTGACACCCCATCAGGGGTTTTGGAATATGAGATACAGCACATTTAGGGCAAAAATTAAAGGATATATAATTATTGTAAATTGGATCTCACTCGATCTTGTACACTGCAAGTCTACTGATAACTGCAATGATATTTTTTATACAGAAGATCAAATAATTTTGAAGTCTGTGAATTCGTTAAAACATTCAGTCACATTGCCTGATTTATGTGTCCTGAAAAAAAATAGAATTATTACCTGCTGTAGATCTTGGATTGTGCTATTTACCATATACCGGTTGTAATAAGGCGAGAGGCTGTTAAAAATATCAGGAGTAAATTCCTTCCTGTCGATCAAGGTGTTAAAAGCAGAATTATTTTGTGTACTTGTTTACAGATCCCAAACATTTGTATCGGCTAGTTATAGGTATTACATGCAATGTATCCTGTTTTCCAGTTAGAAGTTTATCACCAGCTGAGATGTACTGTCAAGTTTGAAGTTTGATTGTTTGGCAATGGTTTGCTTCCAAAAGAGATACTTCTGTATTGGGAAATCTAAACCTCTGCAGCGGGCTTTAAGCCTGAATTTGNCAACAGTTTAAGCTATTTATGACAATGGCCCATGTGATATATTAGGCTTTTTGGAACAAGGCTGCTAAATGAAATCATTATATTATGCAATCTAACATAATCACCCAAGCTCACTGATCTGGCCCCTCCTTGAAACAAAAGAGATATGGACTGAGAGAGTCCCCTCAAACAAGTCTTGACACCCTATCAGGAGTTTTGGAATATGAGATACAGCACATTTAGGGCAAAAATTAAAGGATATATAATTGTTGTAAATTGGATCTCACTCTTGTATACTGCAAGTCTACTGATAACTGCAATGATATTTTTTAAACAGAAGATCAAATAATTTTGAAGTCTGTGAATTCGTTAAAACATTCAGTCACATTGCCTGATTTATGTATCCTGTTGATGTAAAGGAAAAAAAATTAAATAGAATTATTACCTGCTGTAGATCGTGGATTGTGCTGTTTATCATATACCGGTTGTAATAAGGCGAGAGGCTGTTAAAAATATCAGGGGTAAATTCCTTCCTGTCGATCAAAGTGTTAAAAGCAGAATTATTTTGTATACTTGTTTACAGATCCCAAACATTTGTATCGGCTAGTTATAGGTATTACATGCCATGTTTTCCAGTTAGAAGTTTATTGCCAGCTGAGATGTACTGTCAAGTTTGAAGTTTGATTGTTTGGCAATGGTTTGCTTCCAAAAGAGATACTTCTGTATTGGGAAATCTAAACCTCTGCAGTGGGCTTTAAGCCTGAATTTGAAAAGTGGCAGTCCAAAATGTGCTATAGGGCCCGCTCAAAGGCAGCATATGAAAAATAAAATAATTTTCTATAGAAAGTGGCCGTCCATGGACTCCTGGACACCCATCTGGTTAAAAGCCTACTCTGCAGACTACTAAATGAAACAAACTGATTTCTTGTCTGATGCTATAGCCTGGACTAGCAGAGAAAGAAAGGGAAGGGCTGACAGTGGTTCACTGGCCCCTGTTTATGTAAACATAGCAAGAAGGGTGATGTGTTCCCCTCCCCCTGCCACATCCTACAAATAAATTAATCATCTGTCTAGTTTCAAAATTTATTACATAAGATATCTCAGCGTGCAGAAAAGTTGCAAGTTGACAGGTCCTATTACAACAGCCTAGTGGAATTCTTAGGGAGGCCACAACATCTCTGGGGTAGCTACTTACTGTGGAGGTCTATCTATTGACCGTTGAAATTCAGTCATCTGCCTCTTCAGTCTGCGTAACTCAGCCAACATGTGCTGTGACTTTTTGTCAAGGTGAGTTGAAGTCCTGGAACTAGCAGGCTTGGAGGATTCCTTACTTCTCTTGTCTAATTCATGTGTATTTCTGTTTCTTCCACCTGTTTTCTCTGCATTCTTTCTTCCTTCTTTCTCTGAATGAAAATATTTAAGAAATAGTCAACAAGCACAATGTTTCTTTTGAGTTATAGAAACAAGAGTGAAAGTTTGGGAGACCGAGAAATGCTGTGGGAGCATGAGTTGCCAGGTGACTTTTTTGAGTTTTCCCAAACTTCCATGAGTAAGTTTTTATAACTCAAAAGAAACCTGGAGAAGGTGTTTTCTTTTTCTATTTCTTTTATACTTCGATAATTAAAAAGTAAATTCTCTTTGCTTGCCCTCCCCCAGGGGGGGGGGGGG